CCCCCCCCCCCCCCCCGCAAAATTACTGGGTTTTGTGAGATTAAAAAGTATTGATTAAGCTCAAGTCCCCTTGATCCCAATTTCTACCCCAAATCCCAGATTTTATCCTGAGGCAAACTCTGATGAATTTGGTGTGTTCTCCTCCCAGACCTTTTTCTGTGCACTTACATATTATACACATATATAGAAGCGTGTATGGGTTTTTGCAAGTTTTCCTTTGCAACTTTTTTCCTCTCTTCCCTTTTCTTTTTCTGTTTTCTTACAAAAATGTCATATTGTTGTGCAACTTTCTTCTCTGCGCATTCCTTTAAAGTTTAAATGTTTGCAAGTGGTGACTTGCTTGCTCTTGCCTGCAGCAGAGGTCTGCCGCAGTGTGATGGCTTTAGGTCTGCAGTCCCTTGGTAAAGCCCTGGGCACAGTGAGGGCTCACCTGGCCGGGGAGAAGGACTACAGAGAGAGGTGCCCTGAGGCAGGTGTGCACTTTAGTTTTGCCTCTTACCCCAAGAGATGGATGGGCCTTTGGAATTCTTCCCTGAAAAGGGCATCCTCCCCACCCCTACCCCCCAAAAAAGCTTAGTAGGGGGTAGAAAAAGTGAGAGGTAATAAACTCGGGTGAATAATCTTGGATTTTAGGAGGAGGAAAAGAAAGCAGCCAGGAAAGCCGGCATTGAGCCCGGCAGAACCTGATGGCTCTTGTACATCTCAGTCCAGCGAGCGGAGGCTGCCAGCTCCATCCTTTAGAGCCAGCCCTGATGTGATAGCCTGGGTGACTCGGGCGATTCATATGCAAATATGGGAAGCCTGGGGAAAGGCTGACCCTATTCAAAGGATTTTAGGGGCTTGAGGAGCATTCCGGAGGTTTGGGAAGATTGTACTCTGCCTGCCTACACTCGGACCCTCAAGTCCGCAGCTGCAGACCCTGGGCGCTGCAGGTACCTCCCGGGGTGTGGGAGCCAGCACAAGAGGAGGGAGCACAGATCCCCGCTCAGGGGCACTTGGGACTAGCTGGGGACTCAGAGTTTCCCCTCCAAAGACAAAGATCCAGCCTTCCAAGGCAGGGGAAGAAGTACATGGCTTTACTCTTTACTTAAGTGTGTGGTGGAGTTGTGGGGAGCTGGGGGTTAGCTGGCTCGCTTCCTTAGGACTTTGAGAAATGAGCCTGATTAGTGATAATGCACTAACCCGAAAGAGATGGGGGAGTTCTTTAGAAGGAATGGAAATCAGGATGATGTGGGAGGGGGGACTGGGGAGGGGAGCAATAACTACACAGACAACCCATAACTAACTCACGGAATGTAAAATTATGCAACAGCTCCAGCTGCTTAACATCTGCAGGGCCATCCTGGGAAGAAATCACTTTTGTCTGCACATTTCATTGATAGGCTGATGCTGGGCCTCAGTTTATTCCTTGTGCTTGCTTGTCCCCAGATTTTCTTTTATAGAAAAGTAGAATTTTTAAGTCTATGCACAGGGCATTTTCTTTCTACTCAGTGTATTTTACCTTCATCTGGTGCAGACAGCATTTTCTGGCCCATCGTGGGAAAAGGACTAACTTTTGTTGAGTTATTTCCTTGTTTCATTCTCTCAGCAACTCTGCAAAGCAGGTGTTATCCTCATTTTGCAGATGAGGAAACGGAGGCACAGGTGAAAATGGGCTGTTCCCGGGCTCACCAGCTACATACTGGGGAAGCACAAGCTCCAAAGGCTGTTTCCACACAGCTGGCTGAGGGGAGGCCACCATCTGTCTCTCACTTGGTTGTCCCAGACACTGGAATTGTAGATCAGGCTTTTTTCTTAGAGTATATGTGTAATAAAGGAAGAGTATTTTTACACTTGGAGTCATTCCAAGCTAGATATTTTTTATTTGACTACAATCTTTGAAAGCTCTCTTTGACTATTAATTAATATGTTTGTGGATGGCCAGCCACCTAAATAAATAAATAATATGTTTGTGGATGGCCAGCCACCTAAATAAATAAATAATATGTTTGTGGAGCCTGTGTCACCTGTATCCTCAGAAACACCTCGGGTTTTGTTAAACTTGCAGATACCCATATGTTTGTGGATGGCCAGCCACCTAAATAAATAAATAATATGTTTGTGGAGCCTGTGTCAGCTGTATCCTCAGAAACACCTCGGGTTTTGTTAAACTTGCAGATACCTCCTCAGAAACACCTCGGGTTTTGTTAAACTTGCAGATACCCGGGTAACACTCAGATTTGCTGAATCAGAATCTCAAGGGTGGTGCCCAGGAAACCAATCTAATAAAAACATCCCTCAGGGGTTTGTAATCACACTGAAGTGTTTTGGGTTTTGTTTTTTGAAGGCTGTTCAAGAGCTTATAAATTCTATCTGCAAAAAAAAGCATGCTGGTAGTTGAAAATAATTGTTACCATTTCTTTTTCTTTCTAATTTAGTCTCTTGATATAGGCTGCTGGTTTCTGATTGATGAGTAAGTGCTTGCTGGTACTCTGTGCTTTCAACCACTACAATGAAAATATTGATTTTCTTTCTTTTTTGTGTGTGTTTTTTGGTGGCTGACCAGTACAGGGATCCATAAAATGGTGATTTTCTAATTCCACTATTTCTTCTATTATTTATAGTTGACATTCTACCGTAAGAAAGAGCTTTCTCTTCTCCATTTATTTATGTACTTACATATTTTTGTTTTGAATTTATGGATTCTTATTTTATTCAATGGATTATAGTCTGTTGCTGTGCTTCTTTATCTTGATACTCAAATAATGCCAGATTGGCCAGCGGGAGCCTCTTCAAGCTGCGCCCCCACCCCTCATCTTTATGGCACGTGCCCATCCTGTGCTCAGGCACTTCCTTTCTGTTGCAAGATGTTTCGGGCTCATTTGTCCCTTCCCTGCTCCAGCCCTGGAATCAGCCACTTCTCCAAAGAACACTGCTTCCCTTTAGTGGAGAATGGTTTTTAGAAACCAGAATCTGGGTTACATTCTTTTTCTAAACATTGGAATTCCTAAATTCTTAGAGAAGGGGCAACGGGAAGATATTTGGAGAATAAAATGTGCTGTGAAAGTCTAGCTTTCCATAAGAAGTTTGGACACATGTGTTTTTGCTGCTTAAATCTGGGTAAAAATATTCATTTAATCTTGCTCAGACTTACTAGTGTATTTACTTACCAAATTTGTACTTGTTTAAGTGGGTCTTAAGGAATTTGATAGAAACTAAGCAGAGATTGTTACACTGTTTTCAGTTGTATATTTAAGTGTTTAATGTTGATTTTAAATGAACAAATGCTGTCTCATCTTTGTAAATAACTCTCTAATCCTATGTATCTGAGTAACAAGTGAGGTCATTGTAAAAGCTAATGACAAGGTACAGATTAGATTTGCTTTTTTAAAATCATGAGATCCTGTTCTGTAGAGGTTCTTTTAATTGAAAATATCATTAAAGAACTTCGTGTGAATGATACATTTGTATCTACCTTCTAGGACATTTGAATTAACAAAACTTGCTTGTGAGTCTTGATTAATGTTTTGATAGGGAGAATCTGAACAATTTTTACCTATTTCAGGATATACTAATGTTAATCTACCATCACAGAGGCTGGAAAATGATAGGCCCTGCCATTACCCAGATCTCAGATGGATAATTCCTAATTCTTGTTTTACCCTTGGTTGGCATTATGTGTTTTCCATAATATAGTTTTCAATATGCCATATCTATGTATTTAATTTACAGCTTGATACTTCTGCTGCTGAGACCATGAAACAGGTTTTATATCTGATTGAGTCAGATCTAATTAATTCTTGATAAGGCCAACACCCCTTTCAATCTCTTTTGCCAAGGAGCTTGTAGATACTGATTCGTCCTCAGCTACTCCTTTTTAGGAAAGATTGTTGAAATGGTATTGCATGGGTGTGAGAAGTTCACTCCACAGGGATCATCTGTCCTGGTTTAGAACAGACATGTGCGATCAGATTTCCTGGTAGTTGACAATAGTGAGACCTTTGGTTTTCCAGAACTGTGTTCTTTTTGACTCACTGTTGTAGAGTCCTGCTTTCACACCCCAAGCTGCTCACCAGTTCTCTTTTCCCTTCTAGAAATGACGCTCCTCTCGTCTCAGTCTTCATCACTGGTGGCCCCTTCAGGGTCTGTGTCCACTGAAAACCCAGAGCAAAGGATGCTGGAGAAGAGAGCCAAGGTGGTGGAAGAACTTCTTCAGACAGAAAGAGACTACATTCGGGATCTGGAAATGTGTATTGAGCGGATCATGGTACCCCTGCAGCAAGCACAGGTGGGAACTATGGGAGATAGCTTGACCTTGAATGTGGTTGGTCCTTTAGGCCTGAAGCATTAGCATAGAAGAGATATCACCAGAGATTTATTGGGTTTGAAGTGAAGGCTACGGTGGCAGCTGTTGCTGTTACTCTTAATTCAAGGGCCCTAGCATGCGTGTGTCATCAACTTAAGCCTTTAGCAACCTGTCACTTGAGCCTAATGTTAACCTATCAGACTTACTGCAGTAACTCCCAGGACATTTCCTATTCTTCTGGCTCCTGAAAACAATCCGTGTGTCATCAACTTAAGCCTTTAGCAACCTGTCACTTGAGCCTAATGTTAACCTATCAGATTTACTGCAGTAACTCCCAGGACATTTCCTATTCTTCTGGCTCCTGAAAACAATCCCAGGGAGTCTGAATTGTGTCTTTACTGGAAAGACTGTGATTATATAATAAAGTCTGGGGGTGATGGGTTACCTGGCTGTAGCACCTGATCATACAGTTGTTTTAGCAAACCCTTACTAACATGCACATGTCCTAGGGATTTTTCTAAATGCTAGAGATAGTAAGAAAAGGGTAACAGTATCCCGGGGATTTACAGTCCTTTTTACTTGTTACTTGACCAACTGGGCTTAGCTTGGGTTTATACTCTTGGAGCCTTCACTCCCAAGTACTTCTATAGCAAGTGGGCAGTGCCATCAGATTTTGGGTGCTGGCTGGGAATTCACATTCCAGTATCATTATAGACCAAAGTGGTTCCATTGTCATTTTACTAAGGCATATGTGTAGTGGTGGGGAAACAGAGTAGTTGGATCAAGGACAAAGGGTGACACTGTAGATAATGTTGAATGTTTCTATTCTGGAAACTTCATAGGAGTAAGTGAAGAAAATTACCTTGAGCAATTTTTGTACAACCCTTGAAGAGATGTTCCTAATATGAACGATATGCCATTAATTTTATTCCCATACATCTTTGTTTTATTTCCCTTTCTCAGGTACCAAACATTGATTTTGAGGGACTTTTTGGAAATATGCAGATGGTGATTAAGGTCTCAAAGCAATTATTGGCTGCTCTGGAAATCAGCGATGCTGTAGGTATGAGCTCCTGCCATTGTTTTAGAGCAGTTTTTTTTTTTTTTAACTTTATGGGTGGGCGTTGGGGGAAGGGGCCTCTGATACTGAGTAGATATGCTAGGGAAATGAAATTTTAGTTACGTAGTTCAGTTTATTTGAGCCCCTGCTTCTTGTATCACAGCCTGCTTTGAGGTGCTATCGGATGTTAGCAGTAGGAGTCGTTTTAGATGTACTATAGTATGATGTTTTTCAGACTGAAGTTTGCATCCCGTTAGTGAGTCGTGGAATCAATTTAGTGGGTTGCACCCAGTATATACTTTTCAATAAAATGAAATAGAAAATATCAGAATGCACTGTAAGTATAACTACTGTGCTTTGAAGCTTTTATTTCCATTCTGCATATGTGTATACTGAGTCATGATTTAAAATGCATTTGTTTCTGTGCGTCATTGTCAAAAATGTTTGAAAAACATTCATCTAGGTCTTATAAACAAGGGAACTGTATAAGTTATTTATTGTTGAGTAACAAATTATGCTAAAACTTAGCAGCTTAAAACAGTACACATGTATTGTCTCATAGTTTCTCTTGGTCAGGAATCTGAAAGCGGCTCAGCTGGGTGGTTGTGGCTCAGGGTCTCTCATGATGTTGGAGTCAAGCTGTCAGCTTGGGCTGCCATCATCTGGGGCTTAGGGATACACTTCCAAGAAAGCTCACTCTGCTCTTCAGTCCTCAGTTCCTTGCCACGTGAGTCTCTTCATGGACTCTCCTCATGATATGTCATGAGCCATGAGTCACCTAGAGTGAGTTATCAAAGAGAGTGCCTGAAACTCAGTGTCTTTATAACCTAATTTCAGAAATGACATACTATCACTTTTGCTGAATATCAGTCATACAGGCCAGCAGCTCTGGTACACTGTGGGAGGGGAAACCTATCATTTTGCTATTTTATTGGTGTCATAGTTACAAGATGCTACCACAGTTCCAGCCATCCCACTACACATGACAACATCAAGCAGGAGGAAAAAATGATTCTTATGTCGTTTTAAAAGTTTGCAAACCTTTTCCAGGGCTCCTCCATCACATTTCTCTCTATTTCCCATTGTCCAAAACTGAGTCACATGCATACACCTAAATTGATCACTACAAAGGGGAGTGGAATGGTGATGTTAGCTGAGAGTAGGCAGTATGTACCTGACTCACATGGACATAGTAACAAAATCAGAGCTGTGCCCTCCTTAAGGAAGGGGAAAGGGCTGTGGGATAGTAAATGGACAGCAAAGCATTGTTGATGTTTCTTAAGTGAAAACACTATATATATACTACACACCCTACCAAGATAGGTCAAGCTGGATCTTAGTGGTTCCCTATAACAACCCTATGAGGTTCTGGTACCCTGAATCTTATCTTACAGATGAGGAAACAGACTTAGAGGGAATGTAGTTTTCCTAAGGTCACGTGGCTAGTAATTGATGGGACTGGCATCCAAACTCGGTCTTTCTGTAGTCCAAGCTCATGCCATTAACCTGCATAAAGAGTACAGCTGTGGGACATCATCAAGTAGGTGGAATAGATGTTTTCCAGCATCTCACTCTCTCCCTGAACTGATCATTTTACAACTATTAAAAAACAAAGACTGCCAACCTGGGACCGCTGGGAGCTCAGGGGAAGAAGAGGAGAGACACCTTGGTGAATGTGCAAGAAGCTGTAGTGGGAGAAAGAAGGGATCATTCTGACCATTTCAAGCCCTGGTCAATTCAGAGCAGCCCAGGCGAGGAGCAGAAAGAAGCTGCAGCACACACCAAACAAGAGCTGACAAAAGCCATCACTGAGCCTTTTGAGTGAAGTTGCCTGGAGTCTGCAGGAGAGAAGAAGGCTTTGGAGTGCAATATACCAGCCCCCAGGCCAGCAACACCACTGACTGGGTTCCCGTGGACCCACATAGGAGTGAGGGACGGACCACAGCCCGCTGAAGAAAGGCACTATCCAGAGGCCATTGAGAGGGACTGGTGCACAGCCTGCCCCATGGGAATTGTTCATACTGTGGAGGGAAGCTGATGTGTTGAGGGGACATTAGGGCACAGCATGGGCAGCTGATCAGCCATCCAGTTGCATAGGCTCACTCAGTGGAGACTGGTCAGGGCAATAGATCTGCAGGGGGCACAGTTTGCTGGGAAGACTCGGTCCCAGGCCAAAATTTCCTCACGGCCCCAGGTATATCTGAACTCACAAGACCTGGAAGTGATAAAAAGGCCAGCGGTTAAAATCTGATCCACACAAAAAGCCTTCCACAGAGAATCAGCAGCAAAGCAGCAGTTTATCTCAACCACAGGGCTCAAGTGCTGGTCCCCATAGGAAGTTCTCCCAATTTTGGAATTAACCAAAGGACAACAAATTCGTTCCAGTGCAGAGTTTAAGTGGTGGTAGTAGATAATAATTCAACACAGAACTGGGGGGGAAAAAAAACCAGCATGAATCAGAGACAAAGCCCTGATATTAACCAGTTAAGGTCTAACACCACCAAAGTACACCTATAAAACCTACAAGAGGCAGCAGCCTCCTCAAATGTGCAGGCACCAATGTAAAGACACAGAGATTGAGAAGGAACAGGGAAACATGATACCATCAAAGGAAACAAACCAAGCACCAGCAATGGACCCAGGGAACAGCAGATTTATGAAATGTCTTAACAGAGAATTGAGAATAATCTTAAGGGTGTTCAGGGAGTCACAAGAAAATACAGGTAGAAAATTAAATGGTATCTGGAAAACAGTCCAGGAGCTGAATGCGGAACTTGACAAAGGAATTGAATCGATTAAGGAAAACCAAATAGAAATTCTACAAATAAAAAATGCATTATCTGAACTGAAAAACTCAATAGAAAGCTCCAACATCAGACTTAATCAAACTAAGGAAAGAATCAGTGAGCTCAAAGAAAAAAATAGGAAATTAGCAAACCAGAGCAGCAAAAAGAATAATAAAAAATGAAACAGAAATACAGCAAATATGGGACTCCCTCAAATAATTGTCATACCTGAAGGAGAAGAAAAAGGCAGAGACATGGGAAGCATATTCAAGGAAATAATGGCTGAAAATTTCCCAAGTATGAAGAAAAATGACAACATCCAGGTGATGGAAGCTCAGAGGTCTCCAGTCAAATTCAGCCCAAGGCAGAACACCCCAAGGCACATCATAATCAAATTAATCAAAAACCAAAGTCAAAGAATACTGAAAGTAGCAAAAGAAAAGAAACACATAATATTCAACACAGTCCCAATATGTCTCTCAGTAGATTTGTCAGTAGAAACCCTCCAGGCCAGAAGAGAATGGGGTGATATATTCAGGGTGCTGAAGGAAAAAGACTTGGCCAAGAATTCTGTATCCCATAAAACTAACCTTCAATTATGAGGGAGAAATAAAGTCTTTCCCAGAGAAATGAAAACTAAGGGAATTCATCAGGACTAGACCTGCCCTTCAAAAAATGCTAAGGGGAGTTCTTCAGTCTGAAAGAAGATGGCTCTAAGGGGCAGCAAGAAAACATTTGAAGGTGTGTAACTCATTAGTAAAGTGAGTTCACAGACAACCTCAGAATACTCCAGAGTCATTAAGGGGGTGAATAAACCGCTTGCATTCTTGGTAGGAAGACAAAAGGACAAACCTAGCAAGACTAACATACATATACAGCAACTATATAAGAGAAAGGCAATATTAAAAGATGTAACTGAAACAAAAATGTCAAAAAGTAGGGGGGAATGATGCCAAAGCATAGAGTTGGCTTTGGTCATTTCTTTTTTCTTAGATATCAAAGTTAAAGTTGTTATCAGTCTAAAATGATCCGTTATAATTATATTTTTTGTAAGCCTCCTGGTAACCATAACACAAAACCTTGCAAGAGACATTCTAAAAATAAATAATGAGAAATCAAAATAAGTCAGGCACAGAAAGACAAATACTCATAGAAGTAGAGAGTAGAGTAATGGTCACCAGAGGCTGGGAGTGGGGAGGGAGGGGAAAGGGTGGACTAACAGGTACAAAACTATGCTGTCTGCCCTAGGTGAATCATTGTGTAGTGTATGTATGTACTGAGACAACACACTGTATCCCACAGAAAATAAATATAAGTAAAATTGAAAAAACATACAGCTGTGTGTCTAGCACCTTATGGAATGGTAAGAAAAACTGAAACATGTAGTTCTTGCTCTCAGTCTAAATAGAGAGGCCAGGGAGGCTGAAGGAGAAACACATTGATTTGGCTAGATGGGAGTAATGTCACCAGCTTTAATATAACGATAAAGCATAAAAGCCAATTTATAAGATTTGATGAGGCTTTGTTTTTTCTGTCAGCTGGCCAAGGCATTTGAAATAAGTAACTGTAGGTCATTTATTTGAATTTTGAAAGAAATGAGAGAAATTTGTCTGGTATCTAAAAGGGATTGGTTATAAATCAAGCAATTACTCATTTCTCTTCCAATTTATTTTATTACCTATTGCAGTTTTCAGGTCCTCGGGTGGTCCTAGTTAACCAGCTTCCCTAGGGGTGACTTCTCTCCTTTGATCCTATTTCTTTCTTTTTTTTTTTTTAAAAGATGACCAGTAAGGGGATTTTAACCCTTGACTTGGTGTTGTCAGCACCACGCTCTCCCAAGTGAGCCACGGGCCAGCCCTATACAGGGATCCGAACCCGTGGCCTTGGTGTTACCAGCACCACACTCTCCCAAGTGAGCCATGGTCCAATTTCTGTCAAAGATGATTTTTAGACAGCATCTGATGTAGGATAGCTAACAGGAGCAGGCTGGAGGTATGGGCCAGATACAGTCAGGGGTCAGATGGCCACCTGACTGGGAAGGTCTCCGTTTTGAGACCATTCTCAGAGTTTGGGGGATTCTTTCCTTTTTCTTATACCTGTATTCATTCTAGGTCAGTTACCAGATGTTTCTTTCATAAAGGAATTTTAAGCCATTCTTGTTAGGGTAAGCTGTGTTTTAAGGTCTGTGAGAGTTGCATCTGTGCTGAGGTGGTCTTGTCTCCTGGAAATCACCATGCCAAGGCTGGAAATCCCTGGGCCAGGTTGTGTCATTACTGCTAAGTGACACATGTAGTGTTGGCCCTGTGGCTATCATTCATCTTATAGCCATAATATGTCACTATACCTGCACATTATGACAACAATAAAATGGGAAATTAAAATATCCATAATCCCACCCTCATAAGATACCACCGGTGTTTATTTTTTCTTCTCACCTTCGTTTGTCATAAGTCAAATGAGGAGGTATTGAAGGCACATACAGAAAAGTGGTGGAGAGTTCTAGGAACCAAAAAGTTGAGAACCCAGGCAGGAGGATTAGCTTTACAGAGGCGGGGACAGCGGGCAGTGGCAGCGATGTGTGTGAGGTGAAGCAAGATTGAGGACACTGTGCAGGGTGGCTTCAGTCTCGGTCAACCAGAAGGCCAGATGGTACATTCAATGATTCAATGGGGTATTAATAAAGGACAAGGTTTTGAACATCTGATAAGGGAAGGTCCTGAGAAGTCTGAGGGAGTCAAATTAAAGCTTTGTGGAACAACTGGCAAAGGGCAGGTTTGCGTGAATTGCATAAGCAATTTCTTTTTTTGTTAAATTTGAGTTCATTTTTTAATTTAATTTTTTTTTCTTTTTTGGCAGCTGGCCAGTATGAGGATCTGAATCCTTGACCTTGGTGTTACAAGGCTGTGCTCTAACCAAGAGTTCATTTAAACATGTTTTTAGTTTAACTTATTTTTAACACATTTACATGGCACTAAATTAGAAAGGTACAAAAACCGTTTAATGAGAAGTCTCCTATCCGTCCCTTTGCCACCAGCTCTTCTCAACCAGAAGCAGCCAATGTAACTAGTTTTCTTATGTCTTCTTCTCGAAATAATTTATCATATCCCAGCGATTACATGTATATTTTCTGTGCTCCGGTTGGTCATCCTTTTTCTTTTCAGTTACACGAACAGTAGCACATGATTCAAACTGCACTCAGCCTTTTTTCTCCCCCAACAATGTACCTTCCAAGCAGTTTTTATGACCCAGGAATAGAAGCGGAAAAAGTGGACAGTGAGGGGGGTAAACACACAAAGTCAAGTATATGTGGGGTGCTGGAGGAGGCAGCACTGAAGGAGACGTAGATGGCCCTGATTAGAGTAGGCTTGTGGCACAGCCACAGAGTGGCAGGTGTTCAGGGCATGGATGAGTTAGAAGTTGAGGTTGACATGAGCAAGAAGTACCAGGAGACTGTGGATATGTAGTTATAAGGCAGGAAGGACTGACGTTTAAATTATTTTCAGGGGGTGGCCAGTTAGCTCACTTGGTAAATCTCAGTGCAGATAACACCAGAGTCATGGGTTTGGATCCCTGTACTAGCCAGATGCCAAAAAATAAAAACGTCCCACAGAAAGAAATGTTTTTTATGGAATGACTCAGGATGCGTGTTTTTATGTTATGTCTGTGCTTAGTTTTACTCTGTACAGTGTTTTCCAGTATTTTGTTTTCTGTTCTATTTTATTTCATCAAAAAAAAGTAGATTTTGACCCATTTATAAGTTATGCCCTAAGTTTGGAAGACACTGGAGGTTAAGGTGCAGCTTTGCTAGTGCTGTGAGGTAGAGTAGCACCGTCAGGGAGGTTTCAGGACAGCGGAGTGTGGGGTGTGAGCAGTCATGTGTCTGGATAGTGAAGGTTCGAGACTGCTAGTAGGGGACGGGATAGGAGGAAGGATGTAGGAGAAGAAGGCCAGTGTAGGTAGGATGGTGAAAATAGATAAATATATCGATGACTCCAGAGAGGCCCTGAAGATCAAAAAGGAGCTGGCCCTCCTCCGCACTGCTGTGACAGTTTCAGTTGCAGGAGTGGACAGAAGTGAGGCTTCTGGGGAGAGAGGGCAGCATGAGGGGATATTTATGAAAAAAAGTCAAGTTACTGCTTAAGAAAGAAGCTCTAATTAAGGAAATTACCTTCAACAGAAACTGATCTGCATGGGAATAGGGACACAAGCTAGTGAGAACAGAGCTGATGCGGTGGAGGAAGGGACAGGGCTCCATGAGGGGGGGTTATGCCCAGAACCAGTGGCAAGGACTGCCAGGGAGGCAGCAAGTAGGATCGTGTTGGAGGGACAAGAACATTGAGAGGACGTTGTGTGGAGTACGAGCTGAAGAAAGAAGGACCGAGGATACCAAGAGAAGGAAAGGAGGACAAGGGGAGAGCAGCTGTGGAAAGTCAGGAACCGGCGCGTGCAGGCGGCAGCTCTAAGTGAGACGTCGGGAAGTTTGCTCGGGAACCATTCCTCAGCCTGACTAGCTGGAGACCAGGGGTCTGTAGATAGATTTCACAGAGTCCATGAACTTGGATAGGAAAAAGATGATTATGTCTTTATTTCTACTCATTTCTAACTGAAATTTAACATCTTTACTATGAATATGGAGAGCAAATACGTAGTATTAGCAGTACCTGTGACTTTGTCACCAAGTGAAGTTACATGTTCACATCACATTAGGTTGTTGGCAAATACCTTGAAATTTCAGTTACACTCAACCAGAATTACCCAGCCTTAAAGTAGTGATTAGACTCATTGCTCCATTTTGTTATTTAATACTTTATAAGAAGTACACACATTATTATGTCACAAATTGGAGATTATTTTTTTACATTATAGATATTTTAATATAATAAATTTTAAGATATTTTAATATAATACATAATATAAATATTCTAATATAATATAGATATTTTAATGTAATTTTATTTATACTCCTATATATTTAATTTATGCACAAATAAAAAGTTAAAAACTGCTGCTATAGTAGGATTTCTTCATCCTTGTGGAGATTTTCTTGATTAGAGAGTGAGCTAGTCATTGTTTGGTTCTGATCACATACCTGCATAGATACTGCTTGCAAATGCCTTACTCTGCCTGACTGGAAAGGGACTGGAGGCTCTTTTTCAGGGATTGTGTGTGTGTGTGTTCCAAAAAATAAATACATGGATGACATGGTTCTCTAAATTTTGCTTTACATGATTATACCTTTAAGCTATTACATGGGAATTTCTTAATAATTTGATGGATAGTCTTACTATCATTTTTTGTAACAGGCAGGATTTAACTGATATTAACGTTTGGCTATGTACCTTATATACTGAGAATAAAGTTACTAAAAACACTATGTTTGCTTATATTCTAAAGGACCTGTGTTTCTTGATCACCGGGATGAACTTGAAGCAACATACAAGGTTTACTGCCAGAATCATGATGAGGCCATTTCACTGCTGGAAATCTACGAGAAGGATGAGAAAATCCAGAAGCATCTTCAGGACTCCCTGGCAGATCTGAAGTAGGAGTTTAGACCACTTCATTCCATCATAGCTCTTTAGTTCTGCCTTTGAGAAGTTGCCCCCATGCATATGTATGGACTTCTTAGGACACATCTATCAATCTATCTTATTTTAAACATAAGTGATACGTTATTGTATGTCCTGTTATGTTACTTGCCCTTTTCCCATTATATATCATGGAAATCTTAAGTGGCTTCTTGCTTGTATATTTGTTCATTTAAATCACTTTTATCTGTGCATATGAAGTATTAAGTTAGCGTTTTCAGGTAAGAAGCAGTCAGGAGGATAATTTGGTCCAAGTGAACAACAGCATAGGTGAGAAGACCAAATATAATTAATCTTGGCCATCGGGTGATATTCCCTTGGCCATAGGGAGGCGATTTATACAGATATAATATACAGATAAGGAGAGCAAAGTGAAGCTAGGGGCGTGCTAACTGATTTTAGTGGACTAGATACGCCACCATAGATGTTCATAATTTCCTTTTTATCCCATGTGATTTTTGTCTGCCCAACTAATAGGTATATTCTGAGAAGAATGTGAAAATCAGCATCATCTCTCTAATAAGCTGTCTGTTTTCTTTTCATGCCCACTGCCCTATAGGAGCCTGTACACCGAATGGTAAGTTCCCTTGCTGCTTGCTGCACAAGCTCATTTCTTCAGTGGATTTTTCTAACCCTTAACAAACTTATTTTATTTTCTTCCTTTACAGACAGAAACCTAGAAGTAGACTTACCTTGCTGTATTTTTCTCCAAAACACTTACCCCCAAATACACTTTATGTATTTGTTTATTGCCTGTCTTCTCCCATAGGGCGGGGACTTTTTTTGGTCACTATTAAATCCTCAGCATGTAGAACAGTACCTGGTATTTATTAGGTGCCCAGTAAATATTTGTTGAATGAATGAAATCAGAAAGTAAGGTAAAAGAACAGAGCTATATTTAGGAGTAACAAATACTACTCATAGGCGCTATATTATTGACAATTGACCAAAGTTTTTTTTTCCTTCTTACTTTATAGGGGATGCACAAATTATATTAACCTGGGCTCCTTCCTCATCAAACCAGTACAAAGAGTAATGCGTTACCCACTGCTGTTAATGGAGTTGTTGAATTCCACCCCAGAATCCCACCCAGATAAAGTGCCTTTAACCAGTGCAGTCCTTGCAGTCAAGGAAATCAATGTTAACATTAATGAATATAAACGTCGAAAGGATCTGGGTAAGAAAAGCATAATTGCTAAAAAAAGTATGCTCTTTGAGAATGCTTTTTTTCTTAAAAGCATTAATTACTTCACCAGAGCTGAACAAGGCAGGTTGGAGCTGTGATGAAGAAATGATAGTGAAATTTAGGAAAAATGTGTATGAGAAAAAAGGCAGTAATAATAATAAAAGCAAAGCTATGGAATATTGGAAATAAGACATCTGTTATAAAGCTTAGAGCAACAAGAGCCTTTCCCAAGGGATATGAAGAAGGGATATTTCTTCATACACAGGCAGTTGCCTTCTCAACTCATTTAAGGCCATTCTTTCCAATCCATGCTTAGATTTCTTTTCTCTACATGTCTAATTGGGTGTCTTACTTCCTCCACTAAAGTTAGGACTTTTTGTCTTTTTTCAGAAAATTCAATTTGCCATCACTCTGGGTCCCATTGTTCTTGCCTGTGCCCAGTGACCCACCTCTCTTTTGAGCCCCTTATTTCCCCTCCCAGCAGTGTACAGTCAGTTGCCCAACCACCCACTCCTTTATAATAGAAAAAAACTGAACCACTTTTTCTCTTGTTTTTTTTTTTTTTTTGGTGGCTGGCTGGTACAGGCATTTGAATGAACCGTTTTTTTTTTTTTTTCTTGTTCATCACATCTCTTGTTGAGGCCCTAATTTGAACACTCAATGAGTATAGCATAGTGACTGTGCCAAATTGATTTATTATTCATATCCTCGATGAGTCTATAATTTGGTATAATCTCTTTGCCTGTCTTTCTGCTGTTATCCACACTTTTTGTAAAATGGTTTTCTCTGCCTTCTACTTCAACCATGTCACCCATGTTACTATGTAATGTTGACTGTGGCTTTAAAAGCTCTCTGGCCATCTAGCCCTTTCTCTTGGTTTATATCTCCTAAAGTAATGTCATCTTCATCTTCTACAATAACAAAGTGTGCCTTTTTGCTGCCATCCAGTCTTCCCCTTGCTACCCTTCTACTTTTATTTCCAGACTTTTCTGTGGATTATGCCTAACATATAACATAGTCATTAATAAAATAACTACTATATAGCATTTTACTGTGTGGGACCACTGGCCTTAAATATTGTGATATTTCATTGGATTTAAATACTATATGAGACTGTTTAAGATGGTCTTATAAGGCAAATATTATTATCTACATTTTGTTGAAGAGGAATATGAGGCTCAGAGAAGGAAAATGACATCTATAAGCCCATACCTTGATTAAGTGACAGACCCAGGCATTGGACTCAGAGACTTCCTTGACTCTAAATCCTAGGTTCTTTCCCTTACACCACTGCTCCCTTTTCTCCCTGTCTCTAACACTTCTCCCAGCTGCCAATAGTCTATCCATAAATAATTATTTGAATTAATATTCTGTCTACTTAGATATAAGTTCATTGAAGACAAGCACTAGCCCCCGTTCAGGTGGTTAGTCTCCTTTTATGGCTCATCTTGTAGTATAATCTTGCTCAGGAAAGTGCTTTTTTGACTCACCAACTTGACTCACTTCCTAGTCCTCAAGTACCGTAAGGGTGATGAAGACAGCCTTATGGAGAAAATTTCAAAACTGAACATCCACTCCATCATCAAGAAATCCAACCGAGTTAGCAGTCACCTGAAGCACCTCACTGGCTTTGCTCCTCAGGTGAGATCCCTGCACTTAAAGGCTCGGCACCTCTGACATCTTTTCAGGTCCACAGGGCAGCCTGCCTGGTGTCAAATGGCACAGTTCCCTTCTTAGTGTGTCTTCTGGTTTTGCTAGCTGATGGAAACAGGGCCCTGCGGTTACTGATTATGTGAATCCACCCACACAACCCTTGGTTTGTGCCTTGGTGAGCTACTTGCAATTTGTACAAAGGCAAATTAGGAGGCAGATTGTTTGACATATAATATATTTTTTTCAACACCCCTAAGGAGTTTATAATTTATTTGGGGAGACAAAACTGAAACTATAGACATATTAAGCTAGAAGAGATTTAAGAGATCACCTAGTTGGATACAATATGTTACGAATAATGAAATGTAAGGTCTGAGAGACTGAGCAATTTGAAAAACAGTTTAGCGACATTGCTGATGGCAGACCTGCAGTCTCCAGACTTTACTCTGCTATACTACATATGCTTGATACAATCAGTGGAAAATACAAGCCAGAAAATAATCAGTTACTAAGTTTTGCACTTTGTTCTCTAAATACTGTAGTATTTAGAAAAACAGGAGCTCAATGAGAGTGAGCTTCATATTAGCCTGAGATTTAATCTGAGCCTTAAAAGAAGGGGGGGCAGATTTGGCATCAGGAGAGGGGAGGGCCTACCAGGCAGAGGACCCCATGAGGGAAGGCTCTGGAGTGAACAGATGTGGCAGGTGCTGGGAATGGGAAGAGCAGAGGGTTTACATCAAGAGCCAGAGGGAAAGAAGTTTGAAGGTAAGAGGGCTTGTGTGTACTTCGGAGGTTATTCAAAGTCTTTTAAAGAGGTGTTTAAATTCAATTCAGTATGAATCAGAGAAACATCAAAGGTTTAAAATTTGAATGAAAGATGTTCTTAAGAAATTTCAGTTTGCCAACAAAATAAATTAACAGTCCAAATTTGCTAATAGCCCTTGTTTATTTTGAACAGATAAAAGATGAAGTATTTGAAGAAACAGAAAAGAACTTCCGAATGCAAGAAAGACTGATTAAATCCTTTATCCGAGACCTATCTCTCTACCTCCAGCATATCCGGGTGAGTATCCACATTGCTCTCGTTAGAATTACATATGGTGTCATCCTCTCCGCAGTCCTGTTCATCTGGCATATTGCTTAATGAATGTCGAGTCATCTGGACTGAAGTGACCATTACGCCATGACATACATTTTATTGGATTTCTATAGGTTATTTAAAAGTGAAACATTTAGAAGATCGGCTCTGTTGTATTAAAGTATTTGGCTCCTTCCTCTCTTTCAGTGTTCATCACCCTCCTCCCACCCCTAACACACATACTTTTTTTTTCCTGTCTCCTATTCCCAATTATATAAGAAGCACTTCTCATGGTTCATTTTGTCAAAATCATTTTAAAGATTGAATCTTGAATACAGGGAGTGGGAAGCCGTAAAGCAGGAAACAGACAAGAGGAAGAATAGTACTAGATGGGATGATAAGAGTGAGAGGACAGTTCTTGTGGAGGTGTGCTTTCCCATCGGTGGAACTTTCAGATTAGGTTGCTATGCAGAAAGCCTCTAAAGGTGTTAGAACCATAGACTGCACTGGAGACTTAGAGAAGATAGGGAGGTCGGGCCGGCCTAGGTCTTTGCTTGACCCAGGCAGTGTTTCCTTCACAAAGTCGGAACCAGGACTAGAATTGTTTCTCTTATCTCTAATTTCTCTATTGATTTAGTAGAATGGTGTGTATATAGAAGTATACTCCAGTCCCTCACACATGAAAATCTGATCTTATAAAACAAATAATTTTCTTTAAAAGAGATCCCTGGCTTTTTATATTTTTTTTTCTTTAAGTAAAATGGTACAAATTTTTAAAAGGTACTAAAGAGATAAAATAATTTTCTCCTACCCTGTCTCCTAGTCATCTTCTATAGAGGCAGTCACCAACTATTTATATTCTTCTATCAGAGATAGCCCACATGCATGTGAATGTGTGTGTCACTAGTGCATTCAGTGTTCAGCATCTTGGGTTTTGCACTTAAATCACATTTTAGAAGTGATTCCATAGCCATACATGTAGAAATTCCTGTTCTTCTTGACAACTGCATAGATTTTAATTGTATGGACATATATTTAACTAGTCCCCTATTGAACATTTAAATTGTATTTGCAAAAGATTAGAAACAGTGGCACAAGGAATATCCTTGTTAGACACATCATGTTCTGATCTATGTGAGTATACCTAAAGACCAGGTTACTAGATTTTAAGTCAAGTCATAGGGCAGTATAAGTTTTGATAGATAGTGTTAAATTTCATAGATGTTGTAAACGTTGCACCAGGAATATCCCTTGCTACCAACACAGTATTATCAAAATCAAAATGTTTTATCTTTGTCTATAAGATAGGTAAAAACTATTTCAATATAGTTGCCGATATTTTCATATGTTTAAGTCGTTATGTTCATTTTCTGTGATTTATCTACATTTTGGCACACGTATAGATTTGTTGGTCTTTTTCTTACTGATTTGTAGGACCTCTCTATATATTGGAGAAAATAATCCTTTGTCTGAGATAATGGTTTGCAAGTATTTCCCCCTACTTTGATGACTTCCGAGTTTGCTTAAAGTGTTCTCTGCATGTAGAAAACTTATTTTTGTGTAATCTAATTAAACTTTTCTTTTATGGCTTTTTAGTTTTGTGGAAATGGAGAAAGTATTTTCCTATTTCAAGATAATAATAAAAAAACTGCTGTATTTTCATACTTTTATTGTTTCATATTTTTTAGGCTTAAATATTTGCTCTTGGGCTGGCCATTTAGCTCAGGTGGTTAGGGTGTTGCCTTGTAACACCAAAGTCAAGGTTGTGGGTCCCTATACTAGCTAGCCACCAAAAAAAGTTAAATTGTTGCTCTAGCTGGAATTTACTTTAGTGTATATGAGGTTTGAGGGAGGGATCCAACTTTTAATTTTTCCCCAGGTGGTTATCTAATTGTCATTACTTATTGAGTAATCCCTACTGATTTGAAATGCCCCCTACATTTATTTTAAATAGCAAACTCTCTCCCTTTGTGTTTTAAAAATGTAGTTAGGTAAAAATTAGGCTGGATAAAACTTTTCAGGAGCACATTGGCTTAAAATGAGAGATTCTACAAAGACAATATTGAGGCAATTATCAAGGATGCTCCCTTATCTTACTGCTTCTTAGGACTTTCCCCTGCAATCCCTCTAATTCTGATACCCCTCTGTTGGCTGTTTTTTCCCCATGTTTTCTGAATGTGTCGCAAGTATGTGTCTGAGAATATCTGAGACCTCCAACTCTTAAAAGGCTCATCTTTAGAGCAGTGGATGATAGCATTTTGAGGTGGGTGTAACACTGACAGCCTTCTGATGGACGGGTCCATTTGGTTCTGACTGCTGACAGCAAAAATTAAGGGAGAAAATGCTGAACAGTTTTGTCACCGACATAAAATGAAAAGCCCTGCCCAACAATAAATTAGACAGATTGGCTGATAGAGAACCAGCAAGAACATAAGCTTGGGGACATTGACCATATAGTTTGGTATTGACATTGGCATATGAGCTGATATTTTGGGACTTTATAGAATTTCTTTTAAAAGGCAGTAAGAAGACATCGTGTTTCACATTAGTTCTCCCACTTGAGGGGAATTAGGAAGAGTCCCCAATTTGTACTTCTGACAAAACATTGACTTTATCTATATACAAATACAGGACTTGAAGACAAAAAGTCTAAAAATGTCATAATAAAACATCAAGCTGATGTGTGAGGCACTGACGGTTTTTGCTCAGGACATCGTTTACCCTTGCAGTATATTAATGGAATTTTTAGTACATTTAGATTTGATTTGGGTTAATATCAAAATAAGAGAAATTCTCTAAAATTATAGAGGGCAAAAGACTAGCATTATGCCAAGTAGCCAGAGAACACCAGCCTAGGACTCAAAAACTGTCCCGATCAATCAGGAGGAGCTCACTGTGCACTCACTCCTTTATTCAGCCAATGGTAATTGAGTCAGCGACCAAAACTGACAAAAGCCCCTGTCTTCCCGGAGCTTGCATTTTATTAGGGCAGTGGGGAGGGAGATGAGACCATATGCAAACGTTAGTAAGTTATAGTGTGTGTTAGACGGCGTTTCTGCAGTGGCAAAGAATGGAAGAGGCAGAGCAGGGCAGGAGCCACTGGGAGCAGCAGCGTCAGCACCGGAAAGCAGGACTGTGGTATCGGTGGGGTGGTCGCGGCAGTTGTTTGAGCAGGAGACCACATGAGCCAAGACTTGAGGAAGGGAGGTGATTGGTCATTATCAAAATCCTGCAGGAATCACCTTGGTTCTAACTCGATCATTTACTTTTGGGTGAGTTTAAAAAAAACCCAAATTAGGGACATAGGGAAGTCTTAAAGAGATGATAAAAGCCCTCACCAGTTTCTTTGTAATTAAGTTCTTAGACTTTTCTGTGTGCCCCATAAATCATACTTTATAAGAGTATGCTTGTTTCAAAGGTAAATTATTATACTGAAGAGAAAAATCTGAATTATGGAAGGCTTTTCTCCCAGACTGCTACATAGGGTGAATGCTGAAGGCTGGAAAGTTCTGTTTGTTCTTACTTGTGTCTGTCTCTGACTGGCTCCAGGAATCGGCATGTGTGAAGGTTGTGGCTGCCGTGAGCATGTGGGATGTGTGCATGGAGAGGGGACACCGGGACCTGGAGCAGTTTGAGAAGGTGCATCGCTACATCAGTGACCAGCTCTTCACAAATTTTGTAAGTGACTCTTTCTTCAGCCCACTTTTTATGGATTGGGGCCCTTCCTGGGGTCATCTCAAACATCAGCTCATGCGCTACATCAGTGACCAGCTCTTCACAAATTTTGTAAGTGACTCTTTCTTCAGCCCACTTTTCATGGATTGGGGCCCTTCCTGGGGTCATCTCAAACATCAGCTCATACAGAAGTTAATTTCACAAAGACATGCCCTGTGCACCAGGAATACTGGTTATCCTGTAGCTATATTTGTATTAGGGTTTTATGTTTAGAACAGGACTTTCAATTAGTTAAAGAGACAGGTAAGACCTATGTGTATTCAAATGGACTTATAGCTTGTGATCAACTTGGTTTCAGAAGATAAACTAGGAAAGATAAACTAGGAAATTTAAGCTGGCATCACTATTGATAACTGATCAAAAGAAAACAATTATAGGAATAATAATCTGAAAAGGAATATTTAGAAATAGTTAAGATGTTACCAAATAGATCTTTGAGATAGTACTAACTATTTTATAAAGAAAGTACCAAAGGCCAAGTTGTTTGGGAAATTCTAAATAGATATATCTGGGATTGTTAAATTGCAAATAGAAATGAATGGCTGGGATTTGACAGTTTCTTAGAGATTTCTGGATGGCTTTAAGGCTGAAGACACGCACACTTGAGGAGCTTACAGGTGTCCAACAGTAAATTATTTTAATAAGATACTACTAAGTACCTATTTATGTTCTTTATGTGTTCAGTACTGTACCCTCAACATCTGTCCCTCTAGAAAAAATTAAAGAGAAAAATTCTTTGAAGAGTGAAAATGGATATTACCAAGTAGTTAAGATTATGAAAGGTATTATGGGTGTGTGAGTTACTGTGCCCCAGATTTATGTAACAACTAAAGGTAACAATTAAATCTGAAGTTCAAGCTATATAGACACGTGTAAATAAAGGTTACCAGATAGACTATCACATCTGGTTTGCAATGTAAACATATCAGTGTGCAGTTTATCAACTAAGGAGGTAAGGTGGGAGCAGCATATTTTGCACACGTATTGGTGTGTGGGAATTGTTGGGTGAAGTGTAAATTGAGAGGTTTTGCAGACTATGCATGTGGAGTCTAGTGCTGCATCAGCAGGATGCTGTCGTGCACTAGGAACAAAGCAGATGGTTCAGGACACAGCAAAATCAGTTGTAGAGAATCACACATATGGGGTGCTGACCAGCCGAGCAATGTGCCTTTCTCGTCCCTGCAGAAAGAGAGGACAGAACGGCTCGTCATCTCTCCCTTAAATCAGTTACTGAGCATGTTTATGGGGCCCCATAAGCTGGTACAGAAACGCTTTGATAAGCTCCTGGACTTCTATAACTGTACGGAACGGGCAGAGAAGCTGAAGGACAAGAAGACCCTGGAGGAGCTGCAGTCTGCCCGGAACAACTACGAGGCCCTGAATGCACAGCTGCTGGATGAGCTGCCCAAGTTCCAGCAGTATGCCCAGGGCCTCTTCACCAACTGCATCCATGGCTATGCCGAGGCCCACTGCGACTTCGTGCACCAGGCTCTGGAGCAGTTGAAGCCGCTGCTTTCGGTGAGTTCCTTGTGCCTTCTGTGGGAAAGTCATCTCTGCTGTTTTCCTGTATTTTTCTTGGAGTGCACACAGGGTTGTTTGAGAAATCCAAACAAGATAATTTGTATCATTTGGTCAAGCCCATCAGGAATTCTTGATTCCTTGATGGTGTCATGAAACCTGGAGTCTTTCCATCTTGAGCAATTCCCAAACAGTGGGCCAAAATGACCCCAGTCAGTGCCACAGAGAGCTTTATCACCTCAGGCTGCAGTGTTGGTAGCTCCCAGACCAAATTACAGCTGAACTTCAGCTTCCAGTTGGCTCTAATGAGGCTTTGTCAGAGCCAGTGATCTTTGATCCATGTTCTCTTCTTTCCGGTATCTTGGCTGTTCCCGTGGGCTCCAGTTACTTAAAGTGTCTGGCAGAGACGGAAACCTGATCGCCATCTTCCATGAAGAGCACAGCAGAGCTCTGCAGCAGCTCCAGGTTTTCACCTTCTTCCCAGAGCCTCTTCCAGCTACCAGGAAGCCATTTGAGAGGAAAACCGCTGACCGCCAGTCTGCTCGGAAGCCACTCCTGGGCTTGGTGAGTAGGGACCTGGGGAAGGGTGGTAGGGCCTGGTGGTTAAGAGTGTGCACTCTGGAGCTGGACCACCTGGGTTCAGATCCCTGCACTGACACTTAATTCACTGCGTGTCCTTGAGCAATTTGCTTAACTTCTGTGCCTTGGTTCCTCATCTCTAAAACAGAGATAATAATTGTACCTACGTATAGAGTTATTATAAGGATTTAAATAAGTTAACATAGGTAAGGCACTTAGAAATTGCCTGGCACGTTGTAAGCACTGTATAAATAAGCTGTTATCATCATCATTATCATTAACATTGATGGACCTGGCCGAGTCTCTACAGATTAACAACTTAAATAGAAGTCTGAATATTTCATAATAAATGGAGAATAAAGGCTATTGAGTTCTCATTCATT